TATATATATATATATATATATATATATATATATATATATATATGGTTGCAACAAAGAAATGCTTTTTTTATATTACTATTTTGAGAAAAAAAATACACACAAACATATACGACAAAATGCACCTAATCTGTTCAATTACAACTTTTCTCTACTTTACGTCGGCTTGATAATTGGATTAAATTCGCAACCGTGTATTTTAATAATAAAGAAGCTGGATATTTTATCGGTATACACTGCGCCTAGTGTGACAAAGGGCTACACATGTAAGGGTACCAGTGGGCATCGTAGTCAATAAGATAATAGTGGTTTCGGTGTGCGTGTAGCCTAATGTTAATTGATTCATTCGTTTTCTACGGCGTATCCATCCATTTCATATTATTTAAAACCAGAAAATATTTTAGAAGATAAGTTTTTTTTTAACATAATGATGATTTAGTAGTAAAATTTATACTATTTAACCCATATCTGGAAGAGAGGAGGTGGATTCATAGCTTTCCCAAGAGCATTTGCGCGTAAGTGGATATAACGGATGTGAGTGGAATTGCCACTTGTCTCTGATTAACAATCCCACGCCATTATCTGCACATTCAGAATTACAGCATCCGGTATTCCCAAACGGTAACCCATCTACGTACTGATCAGGCTTGACGTTGCTTAACTTGCTTTGCTTTGCGCAGGAAGTGGCATTTCAACGTGATTTGACCGTTAGCCATGGTAGCGTAATAGATATGAGCGATGAAATTCTGGACATTCAGTAACGTTCTTCAATGCATAGAAAAGAAAGCCGTTTTCTATTGGCATTTAAAATGTGAAAAAACACTTAGAGATTTAGGAATGGCACACTGTTATCAAATGCAGCAGTTACCGAATAAAATGTGATCAATATTAATCACAAATTTCTCATGGATGCTTCCCTAAACTCTGCTATCTCTACCTCAATATTTGTCTATCTTATTCATCCCGATAATCTTCACCCGGCTTTATCCCCTCTAAAGATTTACCCCACACACCCCATTCCATATCGCTTGACCAAGACTGGTTCTTAACATTGGTACTGGGTGAACATCCGTGGAAGAAAAGTAACTGAATTTGTCGGAGATTTAACTCTGTGGGTATTATAGTATGATACAGATATTCGAAGGCGTGTGCAAAGATACATGAAAATTCACTTAGAAGCAAATAGTGTTGTCGTCCAGGGTATGACGATAGACTACATCCGGCAGCAAGGCTTGTAATCTGGAGATTTCAGCAGCGTGAAACCTCCGTTTAATCGCTGTTGCTCCAAAGCCCACCCTGATCAGGGGTGGTAGAACCTGTTAGGGTCCCAGCTATAGGCAAATAGTGAACCCCCAAACAAACATCAGTTTTATATAATGAGAAAAACAATATATTTTACAGTGTACAAAATATATATTTAAAATCTTTACCCTGTCTATATAACATTCTGTACAAAATGTCTGTTGTTGAAAGCATAGAATTACGTGTAACATATTTAGATTCCGGTATTGAATAAACCATAGAGTTTTATCTGTTGCTAAACAAAATCAGCTAAGCAATAATAAAACTACCAACACAACATATTTAAATCAAAATTGCCAACAATACATTTTATCTGTAATTGAAAGTATACAATTGCTTTCAAAATATATTTACTTGAAGCTATAAAGTTGTATTTCAAATATTTTCATTTCCGCATTAAATAACCCACACAGGTTGATATGCCGCTAAACAAAATCAACCAACTAAACAATAGTGCTGATCTGCTCAGTAATACTTAATCTCCTATACGATAGTGAACGCTGATCGATTTCATCAGAGATTAAGAAAATACTTGGCTGATATATAGTTATTTTGTTAATATTTTATTATGCAATGTATTTTGAAAAACAAATTGCTGAGATCAAACTGAAGCAGATGATTCTTAGGAACGGTAAGAATAACGTGGAATGTGGTGAACATTTACAGTCATAGGAAAAGATTGGACTAAAATCGTGTTATTTCGTGTACATAGTGATCTTCCAAGCGTAGCGCAGTTGTGGCACATCGTCGAAAGTACGTGGCACCCAGTGAGGATCGAACTCACTACTCAGTCATAAGTGTTCTAGCGGGACAAGCTTGCTAACCATTACACCACCTTGATGTGCTATCCTCCGCGTATATAAGAGGTAGGGTAATTCTTCTTTCTTTTTTTTAAAAACTATTTTTAATATTTCTTTGTGAATTGTTAAAATGAGGAGTTATCTTTATTTACATGATGGGCAACAGCAGCAGTCAAAACACGACAGGCAGTTGCACCTCTAATCAATTTTATCTAGAAGTGATTGATTCATTCGTTTTCTACGGTTTGTCAACCCTTTGCAGGTTTATTAAAGCCAGAAAAATTTTTTTCAGATTCTAAGACTTTTTAAAAAATAATAATGGTTTAGGAACACAATTGTTAATAATTAACCGATAGATAGAGGAAGGAGAAGTGGATTCATAACTTTCCCGAGGGTATTTTTGCGTAAGTGAATATAAGGAACTGGAGCTCGGGCCATTAACCGGCATATCCGACCTTACAGCACCTGTAATTCTCAAGCATTCACCTATCTAGTTTCTGACCAAGAACTATGTTGCTTAACTTCGATGATCGTACGGGAACCAGTGTTTCAAGATGAATCTAAAAAAATCAGTTTAAGCTTCCAAAAATGCAATATCCAACCACAAAAACAGCAGTATTATTCTGTCAATGCAAAATATGATTCGGCTTTAAATAACCCATAAAGTGTTGATAAACATTAAAAAAAAGAAACAAATACACAAACGGAGTTGTTCGGACACGACTTCTTTGGGTCGTTAAAGTTTTAAAAGATTTCAGAAATTTTAAAATGTAAATTCTTGTAGAAACTTTTTCAAATATAAATTTTGAATTGCTTATATTCTGAGTAAATATAAAGTTTCCTTTCCGCTTCTCTGTGATCTCTAGAAGCGATTTCTCCTGTTCAATTTTCTGGTATATTCACTAAGATTACTTGAATACAATGATCGGTGTTAACGAGTGTCGTCCAACCGGAAACTAGTCTCTGTATCTACTTAATTGCACCCAGCTTTCATCTGCAAATGCGAACAATATTGACCTCATCTACACTGATTGAGTATAAGCTCTATTTGTTTTGACGTTATATTCAACAATGCACTTTTCTATTTGCTTTTAATGAACTTTCTTCTTGATAACTTTGTTCATTTGGTAAACACTCAAGAAGTGGTCAGGTATAAGAAACATTTAGATCTAAATATAATTTCGATATACAACTTGGTAAATGGGTGTTTTAATGTGACGCAGTAGAATACGAAGCATACAGACCATTACTATATAAAGCAGAATTACTGACAAACCTAAGCTTTGCAAATACCTTTAACTTGTGACAGTTGTACTAGTTCATGGCAGAAGTAGTTGCATATGTTCCACAGTTGTCAGGAATCAGTGATGTACTCTTGTTAAAAACCGGTACCTGATTCTCAAGATCGGTGTGTTCATATCATGATACATTTTTATTATATAACTATATCTACACTGTATTATGGTCTATATTTCTACTGAACTTTTCAATATAATCTTCTTTTAGAACGTACATTATTTTATCTCTCCATAGATATATTTCTTTGAATTTCCATGAATTCTTGAGAAAGATAGTCGTTTCCCTTTATATATATATATATATATATATATATATATATATATATATATATATATTTCCTTCTCCTAAACTGGTTGCCATCAATTGTAAACGAGTTCAGATGGTCTGCTATTTTACATATATTTTAGGTAAGAAGAGATGTCTTTCTTGCGAACAAAAGTGTGAAAATGAATTCAACAGGCCAGACCGTGTCCTGATGATGTGGGAAGCATTACTGATGTTATAAGTATCCATAGTTGGGATAAAAATCGTCTGGGAGAGAAAATTAACCTCCTCGACCAAGGGTTCCAGAAAATAGGACTCAAGATAAAACTCTCCAAAACAAAGACTATGATCTGAAATTGGAATAAAAGCAATGATGGTATATATGCTGAATTCATCATAAAATTAAGACTCTGGAATTAATAAATACTAACCGCTTCAAATAGATAGCTGTATAGACCATTTCTAACAGATTTAGTATAGGAGATAAGAAGATTGCATAAAAACAAGAATGTGTTAGGGGCAGTTAAACCCAATGCCGCAAATAGCTAAAAAGAAATAAAAAAAAAACGATTTATCGAAAATTCGGGTCATTTTCTTAAATCAGATCAAGACTCTCATATGGATGCCATCTATGGTGGCCAATTCGTCCATATATTTCTCTACCATCAGCTGCATTTTTCGCTCAGATCAATGCAAATGGCTTCGAGCGCAGGTGACAT